AGGGTGAAAAATGGGCCTCCGGGAAGTTTCAGAAGGCCCGAAACGGTTGCTGGGGTTTTGGAATCCCGCCCCTGCGCTTACCTGGGACCCAAAATGGCTGTGTGGGGACTCCTGGGAGGCCAGGGGAGAGCAGGGCCAGCCAATCCTCAGGACTGCCAGTTTGCTGAACCAAATATAAAATTAACATCCGGTTCGCCCGAACCAGTGCGAACCGGCTGATTGGCCACCCCGGATTAACCAGGTTGCTCTGATAAAAAGCACTTCACGGGGGTGATTAACTTCACAACTGCAGTGATTCGCTTCACAACTCCTGGCAAGAAAGGCACCGACTGTTGTGGTTTGCCGGCAGCCGGTGTAAGCCGGCAGAGGTATCGGACAGCGAGGACGAAAGGGAACCAGTCAGGGAGTCGGGGGACGGACTCAGACGAGGGTCCTGCGTCCGATGCAGAGATGGGGCCAGGACCATCTGAGAGTGGGGTGCTCCCTCCAGAGCCTTCGGAGCCCGGCAGCAGAAGACCCAGGGGAGCCTGTTCCCAGTGCGCGTATGCACAGAGCTGCTAGAAGGTGAGAGCAGCGGAAACAAAAGAGTAAGGCTGGGAGGTGATTGCCCCTCCCATAAGGGATAAAAGTCAGTCCTCAATGACGAATAGCTTTGCAGGAAGCAAAGCAGTTCAGTAATCCCCGAGTCCTTCGTGAAGCTCTGTACTCTGGTCGTTGTTTTTTTCCTGGGTTTTGGGGTTAGTTTATGTTAGCCTTAATTGGGCTTCTGTCTCTTGGCAGCATTCTGCAGCACTAAAAAGCATGCTTTTATCCGGAGGAACTGTGTCTAATTCGTTTTGGCTGGGAATGCAAGTAATTCCCAGCATCGCATTAAAAAAAAGTTTTACTTTTAAATTCAGTTTGTGTTTTATTCAGTTTGACGAAGCCTGGGTCAGAACACTGACCAAAGTGACCACTGCGGCTATTGGTGTGTCAATGCAGAAAAATGGACTCATTCAGCATCCAGAAAATAGGTTGTGCTTTTTTCTGGGAAAACTCTTGATGTTGTGGCTCCCAAGGGCATGTGTTGCATGCTCCCACTATGGAGACAAGGGTGAGCATAGGGTCATTTTTCCCATGCTTTATTTCTCCTACATAAACTAGGTTTTTGTTTTTGTTTTTTTTAAAAAAGCTGGATTTCTCCAGCCCGAGAGATTTAATAAATAGCCATTTCTCCGTATATTCCTCGGTCCGTCATTTTGCCTAGCGCTTAGCAGGTTGTTTATCCAAGGGGTTATTCAAAGCCAAACTTGATTTACGACTCAGCAGATCTTCCAGGGAATGAATGACTTCCTTGGACACCGTCCAGTTTTGTCATCGTCAACTTTCCAGAGAGAAGCATCTGCCAGACAGGCAGGAAAAACGTCGTGGAAAGAGAGGGAAGAGATTAAGGGCAGAGCAAAGAGCCGCTAGCAGATGAGAGGTCCTTTCCAGGGTTGGCTAAATTTGATGCATCCAGAGATGTCCACAGGGATGGTGCAGAAGAACCACAATGGCCACCACGGTCAAATCCAAGCTGGCACCAGAGCCCGGAAGCACATGAGAATGCAAGGATGATCCTTCAGAAGCTCTCGGACTGCTGGTTTCGGACAACATTGAGATTTATGGCCTTGGGAGATCTTCTGACAGGGCCAAAAGTATCATGTCAACTGATCTTGAAGGAAAGGAAGCCACGAACCTTCTGATCTCAAAGCTACTTTGGGGATCTTGGAGGAGCCAGCACCCCACTGGGACGGTCTCTAGCCTTAAGTGGAGGGGCGAGCAGGTTGATCCCGGTTGGTATTTGGACAGGGCAGGGATCCACTGGGAGACCTGAGTTTGGTCGTTTGATCCTTCATCCACGAACGTGAAGTTTTGTTGGGTATGAGGTTGAGAGGGTGTTTTACTTCTAAAGCACATTTCCAACCCAGGATTCTCCTGATAAGGTCAGGATGTCAAACCTGTAGAATTGCCACATTTCATCCAATGCCGGTGAGGAATTCTGGGAACTCATTTGGCCATTCAATTCTCCCCCATTTAGGCCCCAATCAGATTGGGGTAGGTGGAAACAGACTATCTGAGAGATGTCATTCATTCATTCATTCATTCATATCTCCCTCCCTCTCTCTTTCCCTCCCTCTCTCTTCCCTCCCTCCCTCTTTCCCTCCCTCCCTCTAGATTGGGGTAGGTGGAAACAGACTATCTGAGAGATGTCATTCATTCATTCATTCATTCATATCTCCCCCCCTCTCTCTTCCCTCCCTCCCTCCCTTTCTCTTTCCCTTCCTCCTTCCCTCTCTCTAGATTGGGGGAGGTAGAAACAGACTATCCAAGAGATTTCATTC